AATTTGAAAAGCACAATCCATCTCTATATAAAAATAGCTGTGTGTGTCTTTCTGTGTTCCAACAAAACTCTGGAACTTCTCGAGAAATTTCAAGCAAACTTGGTACACAAATGACTTACCCTCTGGAAAAAAATACTGTGGGGGTAAGACACCCTTAACACCCCTTGAGGGGGGGTTTCTGTTAAGATACAGCCTGTTGTGCCTTAAAATGGCTTCTACTGTACAGTGCAGTGGAGTTGCCATGGTAACAGCTTCACAATACTCCACAAGGGGGCTCCCTCTGGTAAGGGGGAAAATCTGACATTAGAAATTATGTTTGTTCCGGACATTTTCCCCCCTATAAATAAATATCTGGGAAATGCCGTGTTATTGGCTAATCTAGGATAAATCAGGGTGCCAGGCAAGCATTGTTCTACCCAAGCATATTTCACATTCTTTCTAGGACCACTAAGAAACAATAGGCTTCAAGAATTAGTCCTGTTTTCTTGGCAAACTTTGAAATTGTTTTAACTTCCCATCCAGTAAAAAAGCACTGACGTCTTGTTTTCCAGATTTCTAGACTACACTTTCCCATCCACTGATCTTTGCACTTATACATTATTGGGAGCTTTATTTGAGAGCCACCGGTTGAAAATGTTTCCTTTGCCCATTTAAGAGAAAGAGGCTGCTCTTCTCAGGGCTCCGGTTGAGCAACAGGATTTCAATAAGCTCCTTAAATAAATTCAAAAGTTCTCTCCCAAATGAAGCCCCCCCCCACCAAAAAACCCCATTAATCCACTCTTTAAAAATTAAAGTAACAAAGAATCACAGCCCCGCGATATTTATGTAATTCAACACATAGTTAATATTGTTGATCACCAAAAGCTAAGAAGAGTCAGACCTGATTTAGTATTTAGATGGAAGACCACTCAGAAATCCCAAGGGCATGAATTAAACCAGTGGTCACCAACCAGTGGTCTGTGAGAAAATTTTGGTGGTCTGCAGAAAAATTATTTACATTTTTTACACTGCGCTAAATACTATTTATCTTTTTTAAAAAAAATCATATTAGTGGTTCGCGGGATTTAAACTTATGAATTTAGTGGTCCCTGAGATCCAAAAGATTGGTGACCCCTGAACTAGACTGTACATAATTAATAAATGTTTTTTTTGTGTGTGTGTGTGTGTGTGTATTCCAGAAAAAGATTACTGCCATCTACATCCATACAACTGCCAAGAAAACTACACATCCATGAAATTTTCAGCTCAAGTGGAAGAAATCTTTACTTTCATATCCTCCCAACATGACTTGTTATAAAGCAAGATTATGCACGGGCTTCGATAGTGAAGGTTGCAAAACCTGAAGCACAGGAGCCTTTTTTCCCTTGTTTTTCTAAATATTCCCGCAAATAAGACCAGAAAACACAAAATCAACCAAAGCAATGAGATTCACAACAACCCTCAACTACCCCCTCTCTGTTACCCCACCCCTCAACACACACAAGGAAACTGAGATTTCCTGTCTCTGTTTCAGGCAGCGGATTATATCCGAACAATCCTTCATGCAATGCAGTCACAATCACACAGCACCTATTTTGGGTACTGCGCGAAGTCAGACAAACACCGCAGCCCACTTGCGGGAACATTCGATGACCGAGTGTCCCTTTGGCAATTCCTAACCAACAATAACCACCACAACAACAACGATCTCCTTCACAGGTGATGGGTACCCAAGTCCAAAGGGATCGCCGCCTCGAAAGAAGGAAAACGATCAAAACAAGATTAAAATCTGGCTTTAAGGTTGTTGACTTAAAGGTGAACCTGAGGCATGGAAACCTGGTTGGCAGAGTCTTACCTAGCCTTTGCCCATTCAAAGTAGCTACTTTCCGGCTCTCTTCCACCAGCAGAATTTCTTGAGATTTGCTCAGCTTGGGCTGCTTCCTGAAGCACTGCATTGTGCTCCGAGGGAGACCCGGGTTCCAGTGTACATCAGGAATTCCCTTGAGGGCTTCCCAAGGGAATCACCAAGCCTCCAAGTCCTTTTAGTGGGAGCGCTGGACGGGGGGAAAAAAGGAACTGGCAACCAAAACGAGAACACGGCTGGAGAGAAGTGCGAGAGGAGGAGGGAGGTGAAAAGGCTAAAGGCACTGGTTGGGCAATCGAGAGATGGCTGAAGTTCAAAAGCAATTAAAGCTGAATTAGCTCCCACGTGACACAACAAGGAAAAAGAAATCGCAGGGTGGATTCTAAGTCTTTGTGACCTAGCTGGGGTTTTTGTTTTTTCCCCCCAAGGTTCAGCCAGGATGTTGACATTGATTGGCTGTATTTATTCCCCTTCTTTCCTGCAGGATAAAAAGAAGGATATTTACGGCATACTTTTTCTTAATACCCGGTAGTATTAGCTATAGAAATATAGCTTCCTTCCTTCTGATTTTCTCTTGTCAGGAAAGGTAGGACTAAGAAAAGTGAAAGAACAGAATGGAAAATTAATGAGGCTACGTAGAGAACCATAAAATGCAACATATAAACAGAAGGAGGGGGACTTAATGACAGTTGAGAACAAAAACATTAATATGAGGGTTAATTGGATGGTAGGTTTCATGGGTTCCACCACAAAACTGCGGTAGACAAAAGCGCGCTCGACGAAAGCACGTACTTGACGTCATCACAGCGCGACGAAAACATCGCGCTGTGATCGATAAATGTAAAATTAAAGCGAAAACCTTACCCTAACCCCCCCAAACCTAACCCTAAACCTAACCCTAAACCTAACCCTTAACCTAACCCTAAATCTAACCCTAAACCTAACCGTTAACGTAACGCTAAACCTAACGCTAACTCTTAACCTAACGCTAAACGTAACCCTAACGCTCTAAACCTAACCCTAACCCTTAACCTAACCCTAACCCTAACCCTTACCTTTATATGAATCGGCTTGCTTTAATTTTATTTTTATTTCCATTTTTAATTTTTTTTCGTCGCGCTGTGATGACGTCACTTACACGTTTTCGTCGAGCGCGCTTTTGTGGACCGCGGTTTTGGCGGGTCACGGGTTTCATGATCAACGGGGGATACGGATCTGTAATTCTTGCAGTGTTTCTCAACTTTGGTCACTTTAAGATGGGTGGGCTCAGGGGTGGTATTCAGCAGATTCTGACCAGTTCTGGAGAACCAGTAGCGGAAATTGTGAGTAGTTTGGAGAACCGGCAAGTACCACCTCTGGCTGGCCCCAGAGTTGGGTGGGAATGCAGATTTTGGAATATCCCAGGAGTGGGGAAGGAATAGGGATTTTGCAGTATCCTTCCCCTGCCACGCCCACCAAGGCACGCCCACAGAACTGGTAGTAAAAAAAAAATTGAATTTCAACACTGGGTGGACATCAACTCCCAGAATTCCGTAGGCATGCAACAGTGGACCTTAACTTCCAGAATTTCCCAAGCCAGCATAAGCGGACTTCAATTCCCAGAATTCCCTAGCCAGCATGGGTGGATTTTAACTTCTGGAATTCCCCAGCCAATATGAGTTAACCTCAAGTCCAAGAATAGCCAGTATCAGTGGACTTCAACTCCCAGAATTCCTCTGTCAGCATGGGTGGACTATTTAGCAGGCTGGAATTCTGGAAGTTGAAGTCCACCCATTTTAAAATGGCCAAGAGAAACACTGGTCTATATATGTCAACTAATACACTCTCTATCCCTCCTCTGTACCCCCTAAATCAGTGGTTGCAAATTTGAGGGCCTGGGGAGGTGGCATGTTTAATACTGGGAAATGCTAAGGTCTGAATGGGAGGTTAGGCTTGCCCTACCCACTCGAACGAGGTCAGGATTTTCCCAACAATGGGATGGACGATAAATTTCATGTTTGCATTTCTAACTCTGCAAAGCCAAAAACAGAATTTATCCCATTTTTGTGTGTTGCCCACAGACCACAATTACAAGAAGCCACTCTACCGATTTTCCACAGACACTGAAATCCAATAACGGGGGGGGACACGAATGCCATAAATCTGGATTTAAGAGGCACGTTCCTCTCTGCCTTTAGAAACCGGTGCAAAACAGAGAACGAAATTATTTCTTTGGAGAAACAGACCTGACTCGTTACCTTTAATTCATCTCAATAACATAATTCAGGTAGTCCTCGACTTACAACAGTTCATTTAGTGACTGTTTGAAATTTCAACAACACTGAAAAAGTGACTTGTGACCGTCCACACTTACAACCCAGGGGTGAAATCAGGGGTGTAATCAACTTACTTTCACTACCGGTTCGCAAATGTGAGCATGCACACTCGCTTTGCTCACACGCACCACTTCCGTGCATGGGCAGGACCTTCCGCGCATGCACAGAACATCAAAAAGAGAACATGATGACGTCCGGCTGAGCCTCCCGCCGCCACTGCTACCGGTTCGCCCAAACCAATAGAACCGGCTGAATTGCACCACTGTTACAACCATTGAAGTACCCCGTGGTTACATGATCAAAACTCAGGTGCTTGACAACTGCTTCATATTTATGACGGTTTCAGTGTCTGGGGTCATGTGAACAACTTTTGCCATCTTCTGCAAAGTCAACGGGGAAGCCAGTTTCACGTAACAACCATGTTACTAACTTAGCAATTGCAGTGATTTACTTAACAAATGTGGCAAGGAAAAAAATATCATTAAATGGGGCAGAACTCACTTAACAAATACCTCACTTAGCAACAGGGATGTTGGGCTCGATTGTTGTCATAAGTGAAGGACTGCCTGTATAGAGATGGTGTGATTTTTATTACCTACGGAATCAAAAAAAAAGAATCTCATGGGTGCTCTATCTTAAAAAGTTAATAATATACTAGACCTTAAATCTATTATTGCAAATTTCATATTCCATATTTTGCAGAACAGACTTTTTCCTCCAACTGGAAGATTGGTGGCTGTACTTGAACTAGGGGTAATCCTCAACTTACAACCATTCAATTAAGTGACCATGATTACAATAGCACTAAAAATGTGACTTATGACTGTTTTTCACCTTTACGACCGTTGCCGTGGTCACGTGATCAAAATTCAGACTCTGGGTAACTGGCTCATATTTATGACGGTTGTAAATGGGGGCATTTCCCAGGTGGTGGTTTTGGCCAACGATTCCAAAACTGTTGCAAAGATACCAGTATAGGCTTGTCTTGCGTTGTTTCCAAGAATCAGAATCGATAGGAAGAATCACTCCTAATTAAACAATTAGGAGATTATCAGCACTGCCATGTTGCAAGCTTGTATATCTGCAACTCATTCCTAAAGCACTGAAAATATTCTCCAAAGTTTCTTTCCATAATTGGAATATAGACTAACAGGCTAACAGAGGGATGCAGTGGCTCAGAGGCTAACACGCTGAGCTTGTCGATCAGAAAGGTTGGCAGTTCGAATCCCTAGTTCCGTGTAACAGAGTGAGCTCCTGTTACTTGTCCCAGCTTCTGCTAACCTAGCAGTTCGAAAGCACATAAAAATGCAAGTAGGAAAATAGGGACCACCTTTGGTGGGATGGTAACAGTGCTCCGTGCGCCGTTTAGTCATGCTGGCCACATGACCACGGAGATGTCTTCGGACAGCGCTGGCTCTTCGGCTTTGAAACGGAGATGAGCACCGCCCCCTAGAGTTGGGAATGACTAACACATATGTACGAGGGGAACCTTTATCTAACAGGCTAACATGGAGGGTACTTGATACATTCTGAACCTCATTTGTTTTTTTTACAGATGTTTCATCACCAAACTGAGCAACCTCATCAGTGAGATGTTGCTAATTTGGTGATGAACCATTTGCAAGAAAGCATCCAAGCTTGGAGAGCACCAAGGAGCACCACAGTTGAGCCGTGAGCTACCAATATTCTCTCCTATCAAGACTCTTACACATTCAAACATTCTTTCTATTCATGCCATTGTACCACTATAATTCATCTAAGAAATATTTATCCCTTAGGAATGCCACGCTCCTCATTCCCATTTTTACAAGATTGTAAACATACAAAGATGTTTGCGATGATTGGAGGCACTCTTTATATTTTGAAAAAAAGAGGGTGGGGAGGAGAAATTTGCCGTTACATTCTTTCAACACTCACAGCTGAAAATATGGTCACACCCAGTGAGTCCATTCTGCACAAAGAGGACCGTCAACTTGAAGTCATAAACATCTGGCTGGCTGGCTGATTGGGGGATTCTGGGAGTTGAAGTCCACCCACCTTTAACAGAATAACAGAGTTGGAAAGGACTTTGGAGATCTTCTAGTCCAACCCCCTGCCCAAGCAGAACATCCTATACAATTTTTAGGTTATCCAGTCCTTCTTAAACAGTGGTCTCCAACCTTGGCAACTTTAAGACTTGTGGACTTTAATTCCCAGAATTCCCAGCAAAGCTGGCTGAGGAACTCTGGGAGATGAAGTCCACAAGTCTTAAAGTTGCCCAGGTTGGAGACCACTGCTTCTTAAAAACCTTAAGTGATGGATCACCTACAACTTTAAGAGGCCAATTGTTCCCTTGATTAATTGTTCTAACTGTCAGGAAATCTCCCCTTAGTTCTAAGTTGCTTCTGGTCTTGATTAGTTTCCATCTGTTGCTTCTTGTCCTGCCTTCAGGTGCTTTGGGGAATAGCTTGACTCCCTCTTCTTTGGGGCAGCCCCACAAATATATACTGCTATATTTGCATTATCTTAAAGTTGCAAAGGTTGGGAAACATTGCTGTAGACTTTAAACCTATTCCAAGTTTCATATTCCAAATTTTCCCCAACTGGAAGTTTGGTGGCTGCCCGTGAACTAGAGGTAATACTCAACTTACGAACATCCATTTAGTGACAAGGTTACAACAGCATCCTCAACTTACAACCTTTCATTTAGTGATCAAGGTTACAACAGCACTGAAAAATGACCGTTTTCCACCCTTATGACTGTTGCAGCATTGCCATAGTCCTGTGATCAAAATCTGGACTCTGGGTTAACTGTCTTGTATTTATGACGGTTGCACACTTGGTCATTTGGTCATTTTTTGCGACCTTCTTACAAACCAAGTCAACGGAGAAGATTCACTTAACTTTTTTTAACTTAACCATTGCAGTGACTCACAAGAAAGGTTTGAAAAATGGGTCAAATCTCACTTAGCAACCGTCCTGCTTAA